ATATCAGCAAGTTCAGCGTTATTATCGATAACAGGATCTTTGCATTTTACGCATTCTGGCCAAATATTTTTCCAACACGAGTTCAAAGTTGATGGCTTTAATAAATCTAACGCGATCTTGACTTCATTAATGCAGTCCATTATAGAAAATTTTTTCCATTCATCTATGACTGATGATTCCTCATAATTATCAAGTTTTTCTACAACATAATGAAATGAACTTCTTATGTAATACGTTTTAAACGTAGCAATTATCCCCTTGTCTAGTGGCTGTATAAGGGAAGTGGTATTAGGCGGCAAAAAACAAAATTGTACGTTTGGGTGCTCCAAAACTGGATGGCCTGGTGCATTGTCCAGAATCAAAAGAACTTTAAATTCGAGACATTTTTCTTTCATGTAGCGCCTAACTTCTGGGATGAAGTGCTTCTGAAACCACTCTGTGAAAATTGCACTGGTTACCCAAGCCTTTTTGTTCGCCATCCAGTGTATAGGCAATTTATTGAAATCTACACTTTTCATGGAACGTGGTCTTAAGGCACGATGTACTAGGAGTGGCTTAGGAATACGTTCTCCTGAAGCATTGGAACAAAACAACAACGTAATACGGTCCTTTGCTACTTWAAAACCACCGGCTGTTTTCTGCGATTTTGCTACATAAGTTCTTCTAGGCATTCTCTTCCAAAAAASGCCGCTTTCATCTAAATTCCAAACTTGGTCTGGAGTATATTCTCCATCTTCAATAATTTTTTTTAGTTTTTCGGGAAATTATTTAGCAGCCAATTCATCAGCGGATGCAGTTTCTCCCTTAATTTTTATATTGTGGAGAGCGTGTCTTTTTAAAAAACCAGTCATCCAACCAGTACTTGCRGAAAATGCATGTTGTTTTGACTGAGATGATGTATCTGGATCAATTTCCTGGATAYGTTTATAGATTHTTAATGCTGTCTGCTTGATAGCAAGTCCGTCTACTGGTATTCTCTTTTGGGATTTGTCTTCTATCCAGATTACCAAAGCTTTTTCCATTTTCTCTTTAACA